AATTTTTTCTCTCTCTCTCTCTCTCTCTCTCTCTCTCTCTCTCTCTCTCTCTCTCTCTCTCTCTCAGATTATGAAGCTACCATAAAAAGAAATGGAGTCATAAAAATATTAATGTTCCAACTCATCTGAAATAAAATAAGATTATGTCACCTTCAAATTACTTGATGCTCCTGTCTGGTGCATTCAGATCTGTTTTTGTCACGTCGTACATTTGGAAACAAACATGGAGACCATGTTCTGTATATTCATAACTCATAACCCAGCAAACAATAATGTAGCCTACTCTGTGTACTAGCATGAGCTTTTTTTATAAGATTCAATGAGCCTAACCAGGTTTGCTCAGTATGATGAACAAACCTGTGAACTGTTCATCCCTAAACAGCTTCAGCATGGTACCTGGTAGTAAAACCTTATAATGGTTTGTGGCTATAAGCCATCACAAGTTGACTGAATCTTCTCTACTGCAAGGACTTGATCAGCAACAAAACAAGCGTGCATTAATTTCAACACGCATTTCTTCAAAAATGATCTTGAAGTATTTCGCAATCTTAGCAAAGGCTCTGAGCGTTGAAATTTATGTTTGATGAGTGAACATTTTTAACTTGTGTTTTCCACCCCGTTGTAAGACATCATCAAATTGTGTGTTGTTCCTATCTGACTTGCACCTCTTTTATTCCATCTAACTGGAGGCAGGGGAGCTCTAAAAACAGTGTGCGACTGAGTGAAAGCAGATGAGGGTCAAGTGCTAGCTCTTCTGATAAGGAAAATGAAATTCCTTTCCATTTTATCTTGTTAGAAAATAGCCCTAATGAAAGTATGCAAGATAGCATGGGGCAGATCACACCTCGGGCACGCAGAGATGACATGCGTGAGAACAAGAAGAAATATTTTAGTTCTCTGGAAAAAGAAACAAGAAACTATTGTCCCCTTTGAACTATTTATATATACCTAAGCAGAAAATTAAATCAGTCATTATCTCGTTGAAGCAGGAATGCTCAATGTGTGACTGCCAAACTTAGGAAATCCACTAGACATCTGCGCAACTTGTTGATAACTTCAATTTCTGTGCTCAAGGAAACATCTTTTGAAACTCAAATATTTAGCTCAATTAAAGTAAACGTCTCATTCCATCTCGGCATGAGCTGCATCCGGATGTATTAGAGCAGCGCGTGAATGTCTGTAATTTCTTCTGCTCTTTCAGGCCACAAGGCCCCTCCCCATCTCTCACTCCCACTTCTGTCATCTTGCAGAAGAAGTGGGGAAAGTCATTAGGCACAAAAAGGGGAGGAGAGAGCAAGTGGTTGCTATAGCCATGAAAGTCAGGGCTGAGCTCCACGCCACAGAGAGCTGGTGAGAGGACACCACCAGGGAGTATCTGCACGGGGAGGACAATACATCTTCAGCTTATTAAGCTGTATAAACAAATGGCTGACTGGTGGAGATCCTAGGTGTCATGAATGACGGCTGAAAGACTTTGGAAAGTAGGTCTGTGATGGCTTTTTATTGTTCTCAATGTACCTGCTGATTTCTGCTGACGGAAAAAATAGAAGCAAATGTTTTTTGTTGTTGTTGTTGTTCATGTGATGTTGCATTGTTCCAAAGAATCAAAAACTGATCCCTACTTTATTTGTTTGCATCAAAGGATCAATAAATCCAGATGGGCGTCGGTGGAGCTTTAATGAGATTCCATGAAATTCACTTAAAGATGACAACAACCAGCTGGAGCACGGCCATTATTTCTCATCGACACAAAGTGGGGGATTTGAGAAAAAACTGAGAACGATGGGCAACGCCATGCGAGGAGTAATCGCCTTGATTCCCTCCGAACGCTGCCAGCGCTACCTGGTGGGAGACCTGAAGGAGATGCCGCTGGACCGAACCCTGGACCTGAGCGGCCATCAGCTGCGGCGGCTGCCTGTCGCCATCTGCGTCTTTGATGAGTTGGTGAAGCTTTACCTGAGTGACAACAACCTCAGCAGCCTGCCTGACGAGCTGCAAGGCCTGAGGAATCTGCAGCTTCTCGCACTGGACTTTAACTGCTTTGAGGAGCTCCCTGCAGCCATTTGTAGATTGCACCAACTCACTATCCTCTACCTGGGCAACAACAGACTGCATCGCCTTCCCAGAGAACTGAGAGAGCTCAAGGAGCTCAACACTCTGTGGTTGGAGACCAACTGCTTCACCGATTTTCCCAAGGTAGTTTGTGAGCTTACGAATCTTAAGACGCTGCACTTTGGCTACAATCAGATACGCAGTGTGCCAAAAGATCTGAGGCGACTGGAGGAACTAAAAAGCATCTGGCTTGCCGGGAACCTCCTGACAGAGTTCCCTCCAGAGCTGCTTGAAATGCACTCCCTGGCTGTCGTCGATGTGGACAGGAATAAAATACGACAATTTCCGAACCTGTCTCACATGCAGGGTCTGAAACTCGTCATTTATGACCACAACCCCTGTGTTAATGCCCCTGTAGTGGGTGAGGGCGTCAGAAGGGTGGGCCGCTGGGCTGACAATTCAGACTTCGAACAGGAAGATGAGGGAACCAAAGCACAGAGTGAGGACACAACTGAGATAGCAGAGGTTCCCTCAGAGGAGAAGCAAAACAATTTAGGGCAAGAAAGTAGCAATCAGCTGTGATGGGATGTCAAAACCTGAGGCTGAAAAGTAGTCTATCACAAGGATCATGGCCAACATATAGTGAGGGCTATTGCCTCAGAGTAGTCCTAAATGTTACCTGCAAGAGAATTAATCACAATTTTGGAAGTGGAAAAGTTTTGTGTGCCTTAAAATATCAGGACCGATGCAGGAACACACACTCACTGGCTGGTTTATTGGTAACTACTTCTGTCTTCAGAGCTGCCTTAATTTCTCCCATCATATATTAAACAATGTGTCTGAAACATTCCTCAGAGATTTTGGTCAATGTTGACATGACAGGCATCAAGAAGTAAATTTCTCACTCTACACATCTGACATGTATTCTTGTGGATCCAGATCTGGAGGACATTGGAGTAGTTAATTGTGTTAACAAGCAATTAAAACTGTGTACCTAATAAAGTGGCTGGTGAGTACACATTGTTAATATTTCCAGCAAATTAAATGTTTTTAGCGAGGAGGTTTGACTTCTTTTATTTTAAGGTGCAAGACAGTATTTCAAATCATTTTTGACGGTATTTATAACTGCAAGTCTGTAGTTTTTCTTGCAACATTGTCTGTGTTTGCAGGACAGCAATACATATTTTTCTATTAATCTAACTATGCATGTTGCTGTGCCAACTACTAGCTGAAAATCAAATCACAGTGATGTTATCTCAACTCGCTTTGTGAAGGGGTTTAACTCAAAGATAGGAAGCACATAAAAATGAGCTTTATTTCTAAAATAACTTCTGTACCTGCTGAGACTAAAAAGAGTCTTCAGTACGAGTGATGGATAGTCTGAGTCGTAGGCTGCACTCATTATCCAGGCGAATGCATAATTCATTTGATAAATTAGGACTGTGGCTTGGAATAAAGGCCACTAATGGGGCTTAATATCATCACCCAAAGCTTTGGGTTTTGAAGAGCCAATAAATGCATGTTTGTATTTCCTCATAGTGCCAGGAAATGTTGTCTAAATGGAAATAAATGCCCCTCTGCACAATAGGATTTAATGCGTTTCAGACTTGCCTTTAATGAAGCACACAAAAAGACATTAAAAGGGCTACAAATCCTTCCTTAGTCTAGGAACGTAACCATTTAAAGTTTAGGACTTCTGTAATTCAACTTTTCTCTCAATTTTGTACTTAGGTAGAAACTTACAAAATATTTTATTCTTTCTGCGTGTGTTCTACAAAACTTTAGCATGTAGCTGTATTATTGTTGAAGGAAATAAAATATACATTCTTCGCACTATTATGGTGTCGTTTTATTGCTATCAAGACCTATAGGCTGTTTGAAATTATTATTTTTGAACTTGATTCATGTTTGCAGACTCTTTTTCTCTGTGTAAATAAAAAAAAGTCTATTTTATCTTTCCAAAAGGTCCTGTTTTATCTGACCTTACAAAAAGAAATGTGCAGTTCAGACAAAAATTATTTACCGTTATGAAAAGGTAAAGATTTATTACAAATACAGGCACATAACATTGTGTATCTGAAGTCAGAAACAGTTTGTATTCCAACACTACCTTCCACTTATTGGCTCCAATGGTAAACATATAGAAAATCTAAAAATAAAGGAATGCTTTTAAATGCAATAATGTCACTCTGAATTTATGGTCTGGAAAATATCACAAATATTTTAATATAAAATCACGACCACAGTTATTTGGCTGAAAGCATCACAGATCCTCCATCACGTAGCGGTGGGGATCAGATGGTTTTCCACGTGTTCATCACTTTTTGCTACACATTAACTTGTCAAATTATTTGACAACTAAGTCAGTCTCATCTGGCCAAAGCACATGGTTACAGTTAATTTAGCAACTTCACCAAAAACCAATGGCATCTAGATGACATCTAAACGTTGCTATGGAAACAAGCTGCCACCCTTTGATGCAGTTCTAACAGTGAGCTCACTCTTCCTCAATCCAATATCAGCTCGGGTCTTCATCCAACTTGTCTAAACCGAGGATGTTTTATAACATTTACAAAACATCATAAAGCATTTATAATATTGTTATAAATGCAACACCAAAGCCTAAAAGAAAAAAAAAAGTAAAATAAACAAAGAGATGGTTAATCTTTACACAAAGATGAGGTCACAGGCATGTCTGTATTTATTTTATTTGTTCAAACACATAAATAACATCTGTACATATTTGCAAAGATCCAACATATCTGCAAACATCTTTGGTACAAAATCTTAAATCCAAAACCACGACTCAGAGTAACCATAAGAATGAAACCCAAAGTTTCCCTGACTAACAGGCTAAATACTTGAAGGCTTAGCCAGACAATCCCTGCATCGCTTTTAGCAAGTGCATCAACTTCAAAACTGTAACTGTTGTACTACAGACTAACATTAAATATGCACATTATAATAAACACAATAAACAAGCGTGATTTAAAATGGTCTGAGAGTGTTGGTGCACCAAGTGCCAACAGGACTTTTGCAAAGACATGCAACAGGAATGATGATCGACCGCTGCTGAAGCACTCGAGCTTCAACTCACCAATTACACTGAGACAGAACACGGCTTTGTTTTGCAAAGCAGAAAAAGTCCCAATTGCTCCCCTCACGCTGGACCACAATTTTTACAGACAGTTGGTAACAACAAAGACGCTTTTTGTTGAGTAAAGTTTCCAAATCACATTGCTTTGAAAGAGCTTCTGCGAGCAAAAAGAAAAAAAAAAAAAGAAATCACATGCACTGGATCATTTTGTTTCAGCAGCATGCCATCAACATTAAACAAAGTCTGATTTCTAAAAGCATTTTAGGTGAACTAAAAAGGAATATTGTGATTTCAGAAAACACAAAACATGAACTAATTGGTCAGAGACTGGAAAAAAGGAAGATATTTATTTATAGTGAATAGCAGATGAAATACTAAAACTACTACTTTTTTTCCTATTACTAAATGCATCAGGATTTCTATAATCTTAGTCAATAAATGCAGCAACTGCCAGCTTATGCTTTGCACTTCTTTGCATTTTGTAAAAATCAGATAAAGGTTAGACATTCTTTCATGCACAAGTCTGAATAATTGTGTAATTTCAAGGTACTACCTCTACCAGGGAAACTACAGCACACATTTTTTTCCTATTCTACACATTATAATACTTAGAAAACCAAATTGGTCAAATTCTGAATTGAGCTTTGCAGACTTCAAAGGAAACAGAAATCAAAGTCTGTCAGGAACAGCCAGATCAGTGCACCTCTGGAAAACACTTTAATCCAGAGATAAAAAAGCAAGCAGGTTTAGTCACTTAAAAGGGTGTGTTGGACGACCGGCCGACGTGCTGGGAATGTAACGCCTCCTGAACCGGGCAACTCAAATGCCACAAACATGTAAACTGTAACAGTGTTGGAACGAAAACAAAGCAGTAAACAAATCGAAACAGACGCAAGACGGTGAGATGCAACGCCAACTAAAGCAAGATGAGGCAAACAGTTTAACTTAACTTTATCAGACTGAAGGTTAGTCTACATCTACATTGCTGCATTCAAAGTGCTAAAGAGGATATGCAGTTATTTTATGGTTTAGAGACTCATCCAAGGTCCAGGTCTGTGGCGAACAGCTGTCTCCCCAGTCTGGGACTGAAGGCTGCCATTCAACTCGTTTGACCCGTCGGTTTCCACAGGACCCTCAGAATCATGAGACTCTTCTTGCTGGGTTTGTGCCGCTTCAGCCCCAGAGGCTTCTGGGATTACAGGGGGGCTCTCTGAGGAAGACTCTGATACGACGCAATTTCCCTGGAAATCACACGCCCCACTCATCGAGCCAATCACGGTAGGAGTGTAAAGCTCTTTCTGTGAATTTTCCCTTTCCATGCGCTTCCGAGCCTCCTCCCTCCGCCTCTGGATCCGGGTGGTGTCTCCCACCATGACCCTGACTCTGACCTGGTCCGGAGGCCTGAGCCCGCCCCACATGAACTGCAGGTATCCAAACAGCGCAACGACGCTGAGGAAGGCAAAGTTGGTGGCCACTCCGATCACTGCCGACGTCAGGGGGAAGTTGTACAAAAGGTACCGTATGCCAGTGAAGTAGGCGTGGATGCGGAGCTGCGCTGAGTAGATCTGAACCTGTCTGGAGTGGATCTCAATGACTGCACCCACGGTGGGGTGATAGGCATTCGTCTTGTAATCGGGGTAGAGCTCCACTTCTATGAGCTGCTTCTGCTCAGCCATCCCGGTCAGGAGGAGAGGAGAGAAGAATAAAGTGCTCAGGGTTTGCAGGAGGCTGGAGCGGTAATGCAGCATCGTTGATCGTCCCACCGACGAGACAGTCGTCCCGCCTTTGGTGTAACAGGACATCTTGATCATGAACATTCCCAGCCGTTCGTTCACTGGAGACTCCGGCATCTCCAACACAATAGACACTCTGTAAGGCTGGCCGTTGGCCATCACCTGGTCCCTGTCATTCTTCATGAAGGATATGTTGGCGGTGGGGAAGGAGCACAGACCTGACTTTGTAGCATCACAATCAGAGGTGTAGTAGAAGTGCACAGGGGTGGAGAAGCTCACAGTGGGCATGTAGGAGTAGTAGAAGCTCCCGTAGAGAAATATGGACACCCACAGCAGCAGGCATAGGGTGCAGAAGAGGATGGCGGCCTGAAATAGTGTCCTTCGGGCTTTGTGGAAAGTCACAGCTGCCACATCCTGCAGCCAGTGGAGAAGCGGCCCCATCGCTACCCCCATCGTGTCTGATCGGGAGCTCTTGGTTTGGACTGCTGATCCTCTTCGGAGTCCCGTGGATTGCTGCTTCTGCGGTGGACCGCTATGTTCTTGCATTAGTGGGTGGCTTCGATGGGAAACTGTAAAATCGCGTACCTTGACATCCCATGCCGACTTTGTTTAACTAGCTTCATCCTCAGAGTCCGACTGCTAACAATCTTGACACGTTGTTGGTACACATGGCACCAGGAGACACTAATTTGTCGTCGAACATGGTAATAATTTGATCCATTTTCATAGAAGACGCTTACTGCTGTTAGCCGCGCTAGCTGCTTAGCTACCAATGCAGTTATACGAAAGTGACTCTGCGACCCGGACGTTAATGCATCTAGAGCGGATGTACTTCTTCCTTTGTGTTGGCCTTGAGTTGATACCGTTCAGCTTCTACGGTCGACGCCAAAGAAGCAGTCCCGTTCAATAGACACATTAATGGGGAAGAAAAGCCGCATCGCAGGAGGAGCCGTGGGTCGAAGGACGATTCTACAACTTTCTCCACCTGGACATCGCGGCGGAAATACCGGAGAGAGAGAAGAGGCGCCGTCGGGATCTGATGGTAATTTTCCTAGCATGTTAGCGGGGAAGCCCAACTCAAGGCTAAAAGAACGAAGCCTGTCAATTAAAACAGGAAATTACTCAAACTTGGTGTATTTTTGTTGCTAATCAACGGTTAGTGTCACATAGCATGTTTCGTTCTGTATTAAAATGTCTAATTCTAGGGATTTATTTGCACAGCTAGCATGCTAAGCTAATGTTAGCAGTTAAGCTAACTGTGCTGGTTCACGTTTATTGGTAGGCCATTGGTGGATATATCAATCTCAGAGTGCCCAGGTTTAAAAAAACAACAAAATACCAGCAGCCTTGTGTCGTTTTTTTTTTTTTTTTTTTTTTTTTTTTTGGGGCAAAGGAAAAAAAGTTTGAGGTGTTTTTTTAATTTATTTTTTTTCGAAGCCCCATTTG